CCACCCTTGACCACACAGAGATAATGTGAGCTCATCCACCCACATAAAGCACAAAGTAGCACTGGACAAATGTCAACCACCGCTACTGCCGTTGCTCCATTTCACTAACAGTCCAGAGAGACAGAGATGAGCCCAACAGACAGTGGTGAGTGGGTGAAAGGGAGCGAGGGGGACAGGGACACCCTAGAGCAGGGCCAAGGTGCTGGAGAACTGAAGGATGTCACACAGAGATGGGAACAAGACAGGTGTCCAGGCAGGAGAGGGACACACAGCATGGGGAACATAGCAATGCAGTTGGTGGCACCAGAGAAATGGGGTGGGGGGCAGGGTGGCCCAGGATTCACAACCCCAAAAGGGAGAGACAGAGACATCAACCCAAATTCCCCCGGAGTCTCCTCCCCAGAATGGAGATGGCAAGGAAAGATGGGATCCGACTGAGCACAGGGATAAGGACTTCCAAACATCTCTGCAGACCCCCATGCTGGCCTCCAGACTACGCTGCACTGCGGGGGGGGACTTGGGGCTTGAATGAAAGCTGAGGCTCCCCCTCCTCACCCACCCCACTGGGGGAACTGCTCAGGTCTCTCAGGAGATGAGGTCACAGCCCCCCACAGTGGGACATGACCTCATCTCCTCAGGTAAGTTTTTTCTCTTCCCTTTCTAGGTCTGTCATGGCCACCCCTTCAGCGGCCCCCCAGGGGCCCTGCCCAGCCCTGGCTCCCACTGGGACCCGCGCCTCTGACCATTGGGTCTCCGCCCCTCAGGGGGCCTGTTTCCGGCTGAGTCAGCGTGGGGGGCCCAAAGCTGCGTCAGTGAGGGGAGAGCTGACGTAGCCCCCCCCCAGACCGGCAGGGCCAGCCAAGGTGACTCAGGCCACCAGCCTGGGGGATGGACTGGCCTGAGGGGATGGGGGACTGGGCCTGGGGCCAGGCCTGGAGCAACACAAGGGATCTGGGAATGCCAGCCCTTCCACCCACGGGGATCCAGGAATCGCACCCCAGCCCCCTCTTCTCAGACACAGGGGTCCAGACCCCCAGCCTCCTCCCCCAGACCCAGGTCCAAGCCCTAAACCCTTGTTTGAAGATAGGTGGAGGAATACTTGGGGCCCTTCTGCACTCTGTGGAGAAGGTCACAAATCTGGGTCAAATGAGGGGTCCCCGGCTGGCATCAGTTTCTAGTCCTGCCTTGGTCCTCACCCTTGGGGGTGTGGCATCAGACTTGACCCCCTCAAGGTAACTGCAGGAGGGTGGCCTTGTGCTTGGGTCTTCCCAGGGCAGGGTGGGGACACCTTGGGCTACTTCTGTGGAAACAATAGCAAGAGACCAGACTGACTTAGAGGCAGCCTGGGGAACCCCAAGAATGACAAATGACAGGGCAAGTACAGATAGAGATGGGGCCACCAAGGCCAGAGTAAGACCCAGACACAGGAAGAGATGGGTGCCGGGGAGACCAGCATGGCGGGGTCTGGAACAGACTGGGGAGCAGGCGGAGAAGCCCTCAGGTGCTCACAGACTTGGGGGAGGTGCCTCTGCTCTGTGGGGTGGGCTGGGGGTCCTTGCTGTGCTGGCCCCGGGTGAGGTCCCGCTGGCTGCGTGTGATGACTGCAGCTCCCAGGCTGTGTGTGTCTGTCTGTCCCTGGGGGGTCCTGTCTGGCCTCTGGGGGTGACGGGGCAGGCCAGCCACAGAGGCAGCCCAAACCTGTCATTAGCGGTGAGGGCCGTGACAACTGGGCCCCCCAGTCCAAGCCGCGGTCCAGGGCCAGTCAGCCCCCCCCCCCCCCCCCCCCCCCCCCTCCCTGAGGAATCCCGGGAATTGGGAAGTGGGTCCAGATGGTGTTGACACAGGAAATGGTCAGCAGCTGCCAGGCCTCAGCCCCACAACCCCTCTGACCCCCACCCCCGGCCCCCTGCCGAGCCCCTCTGACCTGTGTCATCTCTGACGGAGGCAGCAAGGGCCCACTCAGCACCCAGGAGGATGTTTACAGGAGACATGGGTATGACAAGGAGTCAGCCCCGCGGCTTTTTGGGAAATGGGATCTGGAGTTGGACCCCTCCACCCTCTGACCAGGAGTCCAGGGCCCAGCCCTCCTCCGTCTAACCAAGAGTACAAACCCTAGCCCTCCTCCCTTTGTCTAGGAGTGCAGACCCCTGCCCTATTTCCTCAGACCCAGGAGTTTGGACCCCAGCCCTCCTCCTCAGACTCAGGAGCTCTGGGCCAAAGCCAGAACACCAGAAGTCACCGAGGTTCCCCCCGCACTGTGCTGAGTGGTCACGGAGACAGGATAAACTAGGGATCATGGTCCCTACCGAGTCCCTAATCTGGCTTCCCCCCGTGGGAAACCTGGCCCCTTGACGGTCATTGTGGACAGGAAAAACAGCAGTGGCACTTGAGAGTCTCCAGTGGACATTCTCCTTTTACAGGTGGGGAAACTGAGTCTCAGGTGGACATGGGCCCCTTGCTCTTGAGGCACCTAACAGCCGCTGAGCCCCTCAAGCCCCCATGTCTTCAGGGCCTGGACAGCCCCATGCCTGGCCACAGGTTCCTGGAGAGAAGGCCAGCTCTGGCTGGAGCTGGGGAGCCCTCTAGGGTCCTCCCCGCTAGGGCTCCAGCCTCCAGTGTCTCAGGCTCGGTCCAGTCTCCTGGTTGCTGCGGAAACCTTCCCTAACAATGGGGCTCAGTGAGACCCTCCTCCCCTGTGCCCGCGGCCCCTCCCTCTGGTTGCTAAGGGGACAGACTCCCTAGCCACGAGGTTTCCTGAGCCTGGGCCCCCAGAGGCTGCCTTCCCCGGCAGGGTCAGGGAGGAAGGGTTCCGCAGCACAGAGGCCTCGGACCCTCCCTTCCGTACTGGGTGGGCTGATGAGAGGGAGGTAGCCAGCCCTAGGCGCCTGCCCGCCTTCTCCTTCCCTCTGGAGCTCCTAAGGGGGCTCCCAAAAGTTCAGAGGTGCCCCCCACACCCGCCTCTTCCTCCTGGGTGCCAATGGAGTCCCTCTTGCCCAGACATGACAAGGCCAGTGGGACGCTCCCTGCCAAGCCCTGGCTGGGGGGACTCCCTAGCAACAGAACTCAGAACCCTGGGCTTGGGGCAGCAGGGCGGGGCTGGCTGTTGCTTGGTGATGACCTTCAAGGCCATTCCCCACAGAGGCCCCAGGGCTCTGGGAGGTAACATGGTGGGCTCAGGGATCCCAGCGTTGGGCCTGTTCCTGCTGATGCAGGGCTCAGTAGGTGAGGGGGCTCATGAGGCGGTCAGGAGCTGAGGAGCCGGCCACCCTGGCCTTCATGCAGGCCCCCGACACCACCCTTTTCTCTCACAGATGGGAATGGAATCCAGGGATTCTTCTATCCATGGAGTGAGCCGGAACTGAAATCCTGACACCCCAAGGGAGAGGGAGCCCAAATTAGAGCTTAGGGTCTAAAAGGGAGGAGGGCTGGGGTCCAGACTCCTTGGGCTGAGGGAGGAGGGCACCTGGACCCTGGGTCTGGGGGAGGAAGGCCTGGACCCTGGGTCTGGAGGAGGAGGCTGGGCCCTGGTCCTGTACACCAACACTGGGCAGGCAGTGCCCGTCCTGGCTGGGCCCTGTCTAGCCTGAGGCCAGCTTTCTGAGTTTGTGCCTGGTATGGTTCCCCAGGCTGTGAGGGAGATGTGTGGGACAGGGAGAGCTGTGGGGGTCAGGCGGCCATCGAAAACCCCAACCTCTGTCTGCGCCTTCGATGCTGCTACAGAGATGGTGTCTGCTACCATCAGCGTCCGGATGGTGAGTGGCCAGGGGGAGGGTGCTGGGACATGGGGCTGGTGGTGGAGCCCAGGGACATCAACCTCCCTCTTTTATGCAGAGAACATGCGCAGGAAGCACATGTGGGCACTGGGCTGGACCTGTGGTGGCCTGCTCTTCCTGATCCTTGTCATCTGCCTGTTCTGGTGAGTAGGCGGGGCTCAGGTGGACACCTGCCCCCCAAAGCACAGGCTGGTGGCCAGGCTGAGCACGTCCCCTCCTCTCCAGGAGGGCCAAGCGCCGGGACATGCTGCACCTCCCACCGTTTCTGAAGGGCAAATGCGACCTGTCGAGGACAGTTTCACTGCTGTCCAAGGACCGAGCGTCAAAGGAGAAGAAGTCATCTGCAGGCAGCATGCAAACCCCTGGGGAGGGCGGGGAGACAGAAGGGGAAGCGACGGAAGGGGGCGAGGAAACAGAGGAGGGGGGAGACTAGGGGCCTCCCCAGGGGACCCTTCAATATAGATATGGCATATAGGTGTGTGTCTCATTTCTGGGGGTTGCGGGAACAGGTGACTCAGTGTGAACCTGGGGTAGGGTGCATGTGCTTGAGGGAGACTGAGGGTCAGACCTGAGACTGGGAGCCGTGAGCATAGGGGTGCGCTGAAGGGGGTCTGGAGTGACAGCATTCTGGGGAAGTGGGGCAGATCTGAGCTCAGTGGCCCTAGGCTGAGGGGGCACAGGCGTAGGGGGCTGCAGTGAACCTGAGGTGGAGCCGGGATGAGTGGGGGCTGCGGGCCACCTAAGCAGGACGGTGGGGTAGGACGCACACAGCCATGGAAACGTGTCCCCAGCTGTCCTGCTGTAGTAGAGTGACTGGCGAGTGCCCCCTCCAGCCCTGTGTGCTGCTCGCCCCCAAGGCTGAGCTGGGCAGGGCACCAGTGCGGCAGAACATGGGCTTTCCCCAGTGGACAGCTTTGGCTCCCAGGCTCCCCACTGGCTGGTGAAAATTCCTGTAGAAGTGTGCGGCCGTGGGAGACTCCTGCACGGCTGGCCTGACCCCCTGTACCGTCTGCCTTGCGTGTTTCCCCCAGTACACATCTGAAAACCCAAGGTGCCTGTGTCTGCTTCTGAGAGGACCCAGGCCTCCTTGGGGTGCCAGGCGGAGGCAAGGGTCTGGGCTTGAGGTCCTTTCCTTCACCGTTGCCCTCTGATGCCTTTGAGCTTCCCGATTCTCAGGGGCTTCCATCCCACTCGAGCACAGTCCCTCTCCCAAACAGGCAAGTGGTATTGTAAGGTAGAGCTGTTTATCCAAGTGAGGACACTGGGGGCAGATGGGTGCACTGGTGGTCGGCCGGTGGAGGGGCAGCTGCACTTCGCAGTCGTGTCCTGACTGGTGAGATCATCTGTGGGAGGGAGGGTGGGGTTAGTGACTGCTCAAGATGGCCTCCTCTCCATCCCAATGTCCTGGGCCCCCTAGCCAGTGGCAGGGGTGGACGCAGGGAGCCCCTCACACGCTGGCGCCCATCCTTGCTCATTTGTGTCTCCCTTCCTGCATCCCTCCCATCTGCGGCAGACCCCAGTGTGTGCATGCATGTGCGACTCTGTGTGCCTTCAGCTCACTGGAATTCATAGGACCAGGGAGAGGCAGAGGAGAGTGACAGAGGCGCAGAGACAGAAAAGGACCTGGAGACAGAAGCAGAGGTGAAGAAAGCAGAGATAGAGACAGGGGAAATAATGGCGGGAGGGTGGCTCTGCCCTTCTCATTTTGGCCTCAGAGGGATAGGGGTGCTATAGAGGTAGAGCATGTCCTTTGTCAAAATTCAAGTTTGGGCTGGAGATGCGATGGTGTGGCACACGCCTATGATCCCAGCAACTGGGGAGGCTGGGGCAGTGCAATAGCACGTTCAAGGCCAGCAACTTAGACCCTGTCTCATAACCAAAAAATAAAAAGGGCTGGGGATGTAGCTCAGTGGCACAGTATTCCTGGGCTCAGTCCTCAGTACTGGGGCAGGAGGACCCCCCAAACAAACAACTCTCCATGTGCTGGCAGCACCTCACCCTCCCAGGGAAGGAGGAGCCCTTGTTTGAATGCCTCCCTTTCCTCCTGAGAGGGGCCTGGCTCAAGGCAGCAAGGTCTAAGGCTCTGGTGGGCAGTACCAGCAGTGCAGATCCACTGGCTGGGGTGGCCTTGCGGGCCATGTCAAGGACTTTCAAAGCTCATTTTAACTATAGACGGTTAGTTTTGCATGATATGCCAAATTTTGCAGTGGCTCATGTTTCCCCTACTTACACATATAGTTGTTCATCGTTTTAAATTTTATTCTTTGGTGCTAGGGATTGAACCCAGGGTCTTATGCCTGTTAGACAAGCATTTGGCTACATCCCCCAGCCGTTTGATTTTCTTAAAATTCGAGACAGGGTCTCACTAAGTTGCACAGACTGGCCTTGAGCTTGTGATCCTCCTGCCTCAGCCTCCTAAGCGTAGCAGGGATTGCAGGTGTGCACCACTGCACTGTGCCTGGCTCTAGCCTTCCTTTTTCCCTTTCCTTTTTTTTTGACAGTTTTTTTAAATATGTGTGTGTATGAGAGAGAGAGAGAGAGAGAGAGGGAAGTTGTAGGTAGACACAACATTTTTTTTTATTTTTATGCGGTGCTGAGGATTGAACCCAGAACCTCACATGTGTGAGGCAAGTGCTCTACCACTGAGCCACGACCCCAGCCCTAGACACAGATTATTTAGGTAAGAGTGTGGGCTCTCCTGAGTGAGAAGCAAGGCTTTTGGCTCTATTCTTTCTCAAACTAGCTTATTCATTTGAACTCAGAGCATAGGATATGGTGAATGACCATTTTCTCAATTCTCACAAATAGTTTATAACTAGTATCAATCTGGATGCATGAGAAAAATTAACTCATCAGAGAGAATCTCTGGGTTCACATCTTTTATGGGACTCCCATGTGGAACATGTAGTCACTCATCCACCCATCAGCAAACCCATCCACTCATTCATCCATCCACCACCCATCAGCTCAAACCATCCACCCACACACCCATTCACCCATCTACCCATCCAGCTAAACCACTCACCCACTCATTCATCTACCCACCCACATCTGCCCACTAAACAACCAATCCATACACCCATCCATCAACCAACTCATGCATTCACCCATCTACTTATTAACCCACCTACCTACCCAGCCCCAACATTTACAGGGTTCAGACTTTTTGCTGGGCAATGTTAGGAACAGAGACACCAAGACCCAGGCCTTACCCTTAAAGAGTCCCTGGCAGTGGGAGAGACAGTGCCAACACACAAAGCACAGTCATCCAAGCAGAACTGGAAACTCAGACAACAGGAAGACTCAGAGGAGGGCAGAGAAGGGGGGCTGGCGCTTAAAGGATGTGCTAGGGGTTTTCTGGGTAGAGGGCAGACAGCAAGGACACTCCCCATGTAGAGGGAATGCACAGAGGTCACTGCAGAGAAGGCAAGAAAATGGCCTGGGCTTAACCAGAGGGCAAGAGAGATCCACGGCAGGTCCTTGAGCAGAGGCCGACAGGCAAGCTGGTGTGTTTAGGAAAGGGGATACAGTAGTAATTCCTCCTCATCCGTGTGGGATACGTTCTGACATTCCAGGGATGCCCGGGGCCAGGCATAGTACTGAACCTTACATAAGGGAGAAGGTAAAGGAGAAAGGGGAGGGAACAAGGGCGGTTTCACTCCTCCTGCCTCCGTTGATCCTTCTCATAGGACTACTTGTCAGCAAACTCGGGCTCCTCCACCTATGTGTCGTATGATCTTGGGCAAAGGTGGCAACTTTATTGACCTCAGTTTACCCCCTGTAGAATGGGGATAATAACACGTAATCTCAGGCACCCAATCCACTGAGAGGATTAAATGGGGTCGGCTTGAGGGTGGTGTTTCCGAGGGCTGGGAGTGCCTAACCTTGACCACCCCACCTCCGGACTCATGTCCAGTTGCCGGGATCATTCGTGCCCGCCAAGTCTGCACCTACGCCGGCGGTCTCTGAGTCTCCGTCCCTCTGGCTCCTGTTACCCTGCCTCAGTCCCCTCCAGTCTCCGTCTCCTGCGGTTCCTGTCTCCCTCGCCCCTCGCGGTCGCCATCTCTCCTGGTCTGTTTCCACCTCCGCGTCTCCGCCGGACTCCGCTCACCTGGGGCTCACTCGTTGCCACTGCCTGCAGCCCCCGGCCCGGCCTCGAGCGTGGCGAGCTGCAGGCGCACGCGGCGGGCGCCGGCGGCGGGAGGCCCGGGCGCGCGGGCGGCTCGGCGCGCTCCGAGGGAGCCGGGCGCTGCGCGCGGACCGGCGGCGGGCGCCGACCAGCGGCGGGACAGCTTGCGCGCCAGGCGGGCGAGTGCCGAGGGCCGCAGGCCGTAGTCGCGCTCGAGCTCCTGGCGCGAGATCTCGATGTTGCCGGTGTACCAGAGGATCCAGCCGAGCAGGCTCAGGAAGACGAGCAGCGCGCCCGAGTAGATGAGTAGGTCGCCGAAGTCGCGGCCGCGCACCTGCAGTTGCGCGAATACGCCGGTCAACAGCGCCGCCATGCCCGCCACGTCCAGCGCCACGGCCAGCAGCAGCGCCATGCGGCAGCGGCCCAGGCCGGCCGCAGGGGCGGGCGCTGTTGCGGCTCCTGTCACCGGCGGGGCCCCCTGCGAGCCGCACGTCGCCGGCACCGCCGCCATGGCCTGGCCCTGCTAGCCGCGCGCTCTGGGAGAGAGCGTTCCGGGGTGCGGCCGCCCGGGGCGGGGTCTGGGGCCCGAGCCAGGTGGACCCGGGGCCCGCTGGGTCACCTGAGCCGAGCCGGGCGCGGCGGCCCGGGGCCTGACTGAGGGCCTGTGCAGCCCGACCCTCAGGGGCCTGTGCTGGTGCGGCAGGCACGCGGATATGGCTGCTCAGGGTCCCATACGTCAGGGAGCGCCAGGCAAATTCCTGGTGGAACTTCAGGGTGCCACGATGGAGGCAGCAGGGCGTTGTTCTCTTCAGTGCCCACATCCCCGTGGTGGACACTGCCGGGGTCAGAAACAAGAGCAGTTAAGGCCCCCGGACTCCAAGGAGCTCTGGGATGCAGAAAATGAACGTCCATAAGGGAGGAAAGGGCGGAGGCTTTCTCTCACTTTCCTTTGTTGGTGCTGGGGAGCAAACCCTCAGGCCTCATGCATGCTAGCATAGGCCTACACTGAGCGACACCGCGGACTTCCCCAGGCGCAAAGATGGAACTCCCTCACTGGAGGGACTGATATCCATCAGACCTAGAGTGTGCTAATGGACATAGCAGGACAAGCCCGAAGGTCAGGGCTTATTACCGGTGAAGGATGAAGCCAGGGGCACAGATGTGGACCTGACAGGGTCCCCGCCCTCAAGGAGGTCCCAGAGAAACCGAGTCAAGGTGCAGCAATAGAGGTGGCACAGGCACTTTCACTCCTGGTGTCCTTAGTAGGTGTCTCCTAAGGGGCTCCCCCAAGGCCAGGCCTAGCTAGGGAAGCTGAGGACACACATCAGGCAGGGCTCCTGCTCCCCAGCCTGACTCTGTCCACGGAAATGCGCTTCCAGGGAGCCCATGCGGGTAACTAGGGCGGAGGCATTGAGGCACAAGCAAGAGCCTAGGCGAACCGCCCTGGAATACTAAAGGGAACCAGACACAGTCACATGTAAAGCTCCCTTCCTTCAAACAAACTAGTCCTTAGAGGAAATTCACTCCCCCCTGGGGTGGCAGTCTGAGAGACAGTTATGTCTAGGTTCTCCCCAAACTCCAGGTAGCAATTTTAGATTTCAAGAAGATTGGGGTACTTTTGCTGGGAGGGACTAAAGGATTAACCGAAGGCTTCCGAACGTTGCCGAATGGAAACCGAATGTTTCTGAAAAGATCCGAACCATGCTTGGGTGACTGGGGTAAAGCAGCTGGCTGACCCTTCCGAGCGACTTCGGACATTCCGAAAATGCCCGAGCGAGGCTCAGTGTCCCCATCGGGAATAGTCGAGGTCCTACGAAGAAGAGCGTTAGAATCCGAAGACGCCAGGGTTATGTTTAAATCACACACTCTTTCAAATTCACAAGAGTTTATTTATTGCCCACTATGTGCCGCACACAGTGCCAAGCGCTGGGTGAGCAATACTGGAGCGATGTCTTTGAGAAATAGGCCTCGAGGTTTCTCGAATTGGATCCACTCGGAATCCACCGTAGAGTTCCGAAAATTTCCGAGCGACCACGGAACCGAGGCTTTCCACGGTCGAGAACACGCCTCCTCCTCTTTACCCGAGGATTTCCGAAGGCTCCCGAGCTGTACGCGACTGTTGGCGGAAATAGCCGAAAGCCCCGGAGCCGCCTCGGAGGCGGGGCCGAAAGGAGGGAGGAAGCGGAGGCCAGCGACTTCAGGTACGCGCTCGGAGGGGAAGCGGAAATGCGTATGCGGTATTAAAGGCGTGGCTCCGCCCCAAGCGTGCCTCTTTCCGTCTCCGGTCGTCGTAGCGAGAGGAGGTGAGCGTGCGCTCTCTTTTCCCCCCCGGCGCGGCCGCCATCTCTCGCTCGCCGTGGGGTGTGAGCTGCCCGGCCTGGCCCCTCTTTGCACCTGGGGTCTTTGGCGGTCCCCACCCCTGTCGCCCGTAGTTGTGGAGTCACGTTCTTCCCCTCCCCGGTCCCTACAGATGCGGCCGCCGCGTTCGGTCCGCCTCCTGGGGTCATCAGCCCCGCCCGACGGAGGCTTCTGCCTGCCCCGTGGGCACGTGGGTCAGGGTGCCTGTGCCGACGAGGCGCGGTGCGCCAGCGCCGGCCTGCTGCTCGGGCTGACGCCTCGCTCGTGCCCGCTTTCTCCGCAGCCTGCACCATGTCCGCGCACCTGCAGTGGATGGTCGTGCGGAACTGCTCCAGCTTCCTGATCAAGAGGAATAAGCAGACGTACAGCACCGTGAGTGGGCCGGGGCGGCTGGCCACCGCGGGAGGGTTGGGGGCGCCGCCTCCGCGTGTCTCTGGCGGCAGTGACATTCCCTGCACCTTTCCCAGGAGCCCAATAACCTGAAGGCCCGCAACTCCTTCCGCTACAACGGGCTGATTCACCGCAAGACTGTGGGCGTGGAGCCCGCGGCCGACGGCAAAGGCGTAGTGGTGGTCATGAAGCGCAGATCCGGTGAGCGTCGTCGGATAGGGGCCCCTTCCCGGGCTGGGAACTGGGGTGCTTCCCTCGGGCCAGCGGACGGGTTCTGCTGGGGAATGGAGGTGCCTGGAAGCCCCTCCCCTCTGCCCCATCTGAGCTGGCTAGGTCACATCTTGTTTCTTTACCTGTAAAGAGAAACTAACAGAACCCGAGCTTCAGGGGGTTGTTGAGACGGTTCAGTTGCTGGGTTGTACAGTTGTGTGACGTTTTCAGATGTCCTCAAGACAATTCAGGTGTGGTGATGTCTTGGTCTCACTGATGTGAAAATTGAGACAAATAAGGAACTGTCTCTTCTTTCCCTGTAGAGATGATACGCTGGGTCCAAGTATCAGTTTGACATTTATCCCAGAGTTCTGCTGGCTGAGCTAAAGAGAAGGGGTCCTGAAGAGCCCACCCTGCTAAACTGTGCTCTCAGGCAGATAGGCTTGTTTTGTTTTGTTTTGCCCAGAGTACTTGTGGGAGGTCAAGGGAGGCAGGGATCTGCTGTGGGATACCCACCTCCACCTGGGGTTTTTAAGATAACGAGTTTTCCTTGGGTTCTCAGTGGGACTGGCTTCTGTTCTGGTTCAATGCCTGGTGACCTCAGTGACTCCTGCCCATCCTGGAGGGAGATAGTGTCTCTTCTCGGGAGCATCGCAGCCCAAGGAGTCACCAGTTGATTTCCCTAGTGGACTTCAGAGTTCTCCTGAGGACCATTCTGGAGGCATACATCCTAAGAACTTTTGATTCCTCTCTTGAATTGTTGAACACATGAGTGCCTTTTGGGGGCTAAAAATCCGCATGGTGACAGCCTGGTGTCTTGGGGAAGCTGTTTATGTCCCAGTATCAGGAGCATGATTCTGGCTAGGCTTGTTAGTTCTAACTATGTCCTGATGGATGGCTGCTTCATGATACAAGAAAAGGATATTTTCACATGAACGGTATTGGGAGAGCCTGGAAGAATTTTGAAGATCTTTTTGATGCCAGATAAGGAAGCCCCTGGAACACTGGAATATTGTGGTTATGGGGTCTAGCTTAGGAAAGTTAGCTCTGCTACATGGGGCCTTGAGAGTCCTTATCCTGTTGCCTCTGTATTTCAGACCACTGTGAAGATGGGGTCGGTATACTTTTCCTGAGGGCCCTTGGCCTGAGTGTCTTGTGGATAGGCAGGCTGTCTGCTGGCCTGGTCCTGGAGGCTGGGGGAATGGCTGGGCAGTAGTTTCCTCAGACTCCACAGCCACAGTGCTTTGACTCTTGGGGTGAGATTGTATCCTCTTACCTGGGAGGCACACTAGGGCCTAGGCAGTTGAACTGACCCACAGACTCCCTCACCAGGCCAGCGAAAGCCAGCTACTAATTATGTCCGGACCACCATCAATAAGAATGCACGGGCCACACTCAGCAGCATCAGGCACATGATTCGCAAGAACAAGTACCGCCCCGACCTGCGTATGGTGAGTGTTCAGAGGGCCTCTGGGTAAGGGGGGAAGGCATGGGCTGGGAAGGTCAGGGACCTTTCCTTTGAGCTCCACCCCAGGGACACCCGCCCCCCACCACGTGGACCTGGGAGGCAGGCAGGTCCTTGGGGGTGACCTGAGCCCGTTAGCTGAACCCCACTCTGCCCTTGCCCTCAGGCTGCCATCCGCAGAGCCAGTGCCATCCTGCGCAGCCAGAAGCCTGTGATGGTGAAGAGGAAGCGGACGCGCCCCACTAAGAGCTCTTGAGCCTCAAGCCTTCTAAAGCAATAAAGACTCAGCTGACTTTCTTTGGCCCTCTGTGTTGTCACTCAGGCAGCTTCACTAAATCTCTTAAGTGTCCAAGTGTTTTTCTGAGGGGATAAACGGGGCTGGACATGCAGGAAGGTGGGCAGGCAACTGTTTCCTAAAAAGGCTTGCTTGTCTCTTATCTAGACACTCCTTTCTGAAATGCTTAAAGAATCCCAACTGGGGGGTGGGGGTGAGGTTTCTTCCAGCCTGGAATGGTAGCATCCAAGGAGCTGTGGGCCCTGATGGTGCTCTCAGCCCAAATCTAAGTCCTTGGTATCACAGTAGGGTTTGGGACCCTGGAACCTGGTGGCCCACAGGAGTGAAGTCCTCTGATGAGAGAGTCCTGCATGTCCTGGGCCTGAGCTGCAGGGGGCTACCTCATGTGGCCCCATCTTGGAGATGGGCATTTAGTCCACACTGGCTATCCAGTAGGGGGGCCAGCAGCCAGCCTCATAAATGCCCCATCTCCTTGAGGACAAGACAGGTGGTCCCAAATGGGAGGCTCTTTGTCAGGTCTCAGCTTAGTGTCTCCTTTGAAGGGATCTTCACTGATGTATGTAGTTTCTCCTGGGTTCCCCAGCTCTTTGTGTGTTTGCTTCCTAGTGTTTGTTATAACCTGTGACATCGGGACCTGCATGCACACTGAATATGGGCTGCCAGAGTCCTGCCACTGACTGGGCTATTCCACTTCTGCTTCCTTGCCAGAATGAAGTGGGTTAATGAATCCAAAGAGCTGAGGACAGGGGCTGTAGGTAGTTAAGTGCTTAGTAATTATCAATGGTCTGTATACTAGAACATGTACTGTGAGAAGCAGAACCTT